TGTAGGATTGATGGTATTATGAAGTTCATTTTTGAACCCTGCAAGATAATCTTACAATGTTATATAGATACAGAACCATTAAAATATAATTTACAAAATTTAAGATATTAACTCAGATTTTAGATATATTATAATCCAATGATAATGTTAGTCATGCTCTCTACATTTGTTTTTACAGAGGGTGTTATTTTTAATTCTTATATTTGCTAACTGTTTTAATCTGTTTCATGTTTGGCAATATTAGATTTTCTTAAGTGATTTGTGCATTTTCTTTAATGTTTTCCAGCGACGAGTAGAACAGCCTCTCTATGGTTTAGATGGCAGTGCTGCAAAGGAGGTATCAGAAGAGCAGTCGGCCCTGCCAACCCTGATGTCGGTGATGCTAGCGAAACCCCGGCTGGACACAGAGCAGCTGGCACAGAGGGGAGCTGGCCTCTGCTTCACTTTTGTTTCAGTGAGTAGTACCAAGGCTAAGTTTATGCGGATCCTTGTTGCCCTGGAGCTCCTTGAAGGTGGAGTCATTATTTTTTGTAGAGAGATGATGACATTTCTGACTCTGTAACTGGTAAAGGCACTGTGCTTTTACTCTGTCCTCTGGTTCAGGGAACTGAGAGAAACTGTCGAAGTCTGAGCCCACCATGGAAAGGAAAAATACAATATTAGGTTGACAAAGAAGTAAAGAAAATACAGATCAAATTCCATTATCACCAAAGTGCTTGTATAATTAAAAATAAAATCTCCAGACTCCAGCCATCATTATTTAAAGCAATATATTCAAGTCATAAAATTTCAGCATGTAGGCAGGCATTCGGTAGCACGCTTACCAATCATTCCTGCTCTGGTATTTGGGCAGCTTCTGTGCTTGTTTCTCTTGCCTCTTCAGAGTGTTGGTGTTGGTGGGGACTCTTGCTAGGAAAATTTGGCTGTTTGCTCCTTTCAGCTTGCTTCTTCCCCCCTCTCTGAATAGTAAGAATTTGAGTGCTAAGAAAGTTTGACCCCATTTTTATTTGCTAAATTATAATGCAGTTTGACTCAAAAGTTGTTATTTTTCTTGGTTTCTGTGCCCTACCAACTACTTGTTTGTTGCCAAAGATGGTATAAAGCAAGGGAAAGCCCGTTGCTCTATTCTTCCATTTTTAGGGGCATCTTTCAGAGCTAAAGTCACCAGTGGTCCAAACTTTGTTCTCTTTTACTGGTTCATTTTCTCCAGTTATAATCCAAGTTTCCTCTTTATTTGCTCTGTGGAATCTGAATCACTAACCCACATGCAATTGTATTCAGAAAGGCCCTGAAAATAGTGTCTTAGGGAAAGGAAATAAAAAATTAGATAGGGAACCATTGTGTATTATTTGGAATACTTTCTTATAGTTATTGCTTCCCCTCAAAAAAGTGATAATACGTTTTTAAAACACTTACAGAATTTTTAATCATCAAAGGAATGGAGAAACTTTTTGTATGAGGACAGTATAATTTCATCCCTCAGGGGCAAAGGAAATAACATAAAATGGGAGAATTAACCAGTATGATACTGTGGGTAGCCTGACAGTATGGAATACTTTGTATGAGAATGTAGTGGTTCTCTATAGTACTGTTTTAGAGATTGTATCTGTCTTTATGTCTATGTATATATTTCATTGTGTGCTTACTATTCACTTACATTTGTTAAATCTTCATATTAGATCTAACTTTCCCAGGCAGAACCTTGGTAGGGGTGCAGGGTGGGGGAAGCTGTTTGTCCTTTAGTTCTTACATTGTCTTAAAAACTACCTGTTTCTCACTTAAGGGGAGTTCCCTTTTTTCATTCCTCAAATATTTACTGAATGACTACTGTGTGACAGGCATATAGTTAAATACAAAGGGTTTCGATCAGTGAGAACTTGTTCCCCTGTTGTAAGCCTTCCATAAAAGGTGTGTGCGTGCAGGCTTGGGAGTGGGTGCATATGAAGGACAGCCACCTGCTCAGTTCTGTCACCTTGTACACTCAGGCTGTTAGAGGAGTTGAGAGATGCTGCAGGCATATTGTTCTCACACGGAAGAGAGATGGCAGTTAGCAGTAAGAATGATATGTCAGAGTAAGGAACATGGAAACCGTATAAAAACCAAAGGCCTAAATGCTTTGGTATGGTTCTGTTTCTCTTTGCTTCTCTGAGGTTCCAGCCAGATATATATAAACTTAGTAAAATAAAGAAGGAAAAAAAAGCTAACATTAAGATAAAACAGATATTGTAAATCAATAGATAAAAAAGCAAGTCTCCTAAAAAAATAGGGAAAGGCTATGAGCAGACAGGTGTATGGGGAAAAAAAAGACAAATGACTAATAATATGAAAAAAATGCTTAATTTCAGCCATTGAGAAATACAAAATAAAACAAGATAACATTTTTGACCTATCAAATGGAAGGTTAATAAGTTTGATAATTTAGACACACATGCAGTTTTATATTGCCTCTAAGTTGTAGTCATTTGGACAAATTGGTAATGTATCTCAGTGTTAAGTTTACATATTATTGGGTCCAGAAATTCCATTCCCATAAAACTGCACAAAAATAATTATTCTTTATAATTATAATTTCTATCTACCAGTGTTTCAACTTGGAATGTGACCTTCATGTTGCTAAGTCCAGTGATCAGTTCTCAGAACTTAGCCAGCCCAATTTATTAGCCACCATGGATCACTCCCTTCTTCTCCAAGCACATGTTCTTTTTATGGCTTCCTCTTGATTCTTCCTCGCATTGGAGTGCCTCAGGGCTTAATCTTTAGACCTTTCTATCTGCCTTTATTCTCTACATAATCTCATTTAGTTTCTTTGCCCTAATTATCACCTGTCTGCAGGACTTGCATATTTATGTCTGTAGCTCAGAACCCTTCCCTGAATTGCCAGACCTATGTGGTCCCTTGCCTGTAAAAGTCATCTTCTCTGTATGTCAACCAGCATATCAAATTTCACATGTCCAAAACCAAATGCTTCATTTTGTTCACCCACTTCAAACTCCTTTCTCCCATAGCCTTCCACATCTTAGTAGTTGTCAGCTCTTTAATTGTTTAAAAACCTTGGAGTCATTCTTGTCTTTTCCCCCTTCATTATTACCACTTGAATTTAAACTGTCTCCCACTGAGGTTATGGTGGTAGCTTCTTAACTGGACTCTACTTCTAGCTTTGTTTCCTTTTAATATGTTCTCAACAGATCAGAGTGATCCACCTGAAAATAACTGAATGCCGAGTCATGCCACTCCTTCCACTTGAAGTGCTTGAATTGGCACATAGGCCCTGCATGGTCTGTCTCCTACCACTTTGATATCTCTTACTACTTACTGCCTCCCTTCCTTACCAGGTTGCATCAACACTGGCTGCCTTGCTTCCTCAAATAGTACCTGGTAGGCTCTTACTTCAGGGCCTTTCTACTTACTGTTACTTTAGTTTTAACATTCTTCCGCCAGATACCATCATGCCTTGCTCCCTCAGTTCTATCCAGTCTCTATTTAAATTTACCCTAAGACAGAGTCCTGTATAAAATAAGTCCTACACTATAGAACATCAACTCCTCCCTGCCCACCCCATACAATATCTACCTCCTGTGCCCCGCTTTAGCTTAGTCTTACCACCAGCTGACCTGCTATAATTTACTTCTTTGTTTGACAGTGGCTCTCCCCTGCACCCCCCACCCCCCGTGAAGCCTCCATCAGGTTGCAGACTTTGGTGTCTCCAGAGCTAGGATGGGATCTGTGCTGATAGACACTCAGCATCCTTCATATAGAGACTAGTTAAATAAAATATATGTACACAATGGAATGCTATACAGTTGACAAAAAACATACATATGGGTTAACAATGAAAGATCTCTAGATAGGTATTAAGTAAAAATGGGTGACAGTATATGAGTTTGATACTTCAGATGTTTAAAACTTACATAATTTTACATGTTTTAACATAGGAAATTTGATTTCTTAAATTTTAAGCATATGATGTTCTAAATTGTAAAAGTAGTACATGTACATGGCCCTTGAAAACTTGAAGTGATGGAGAAAAGTAAAATTCTTTTTCCTTCACACCCCTCAGAGAGAGAACTACTGTTATCAGTTTGTGTTTTAGATTTTCTACTAATTACCATTTTAACTTCAAATGTTTCTTATCTAATCAACTTTAAACAAGATCTGTTTATTCCCTATTCTGGGAGATGAGTTTGACATACATACTCATAACTATTACCCAGCTTCCTTTCTCATCTTTCAATTTTTTAACTATTTTAAATTATAAGTATGTGGTATTTAGTTTGTAATTTTAAGTAAATTGAGTCTTTTCTGCTTGATAAATTATTCTAAAACTTGAAAACACTTACCGAGCACTTTGAATATAACAATCCCACTGGATATGAAGCAACATCTCATTGTGACTTTGGTTTGCATTTCCTGAATATTAAAGGATAATGAGCAATTTTTTCATTTGCCTGTGGCCATTTGTATATTTTCTTTGGAGAAATGTCTACATAAATCCCTTGGCCTTTAAAAAATTTGGTTATTAGTCTTTCTGTTGTTGAGTTGTAAGGGTTCTTTATATATTTTGAATATTAGATCCTTATCAAATATATGATTTACGAGTATTTTCTCCTGTAGATTGTTTTACTTCCTTGAAGGTGTCCTTTGAAGCACAGAAAATTTTAATTGTGAAAAAGTCCAATTTATCTGTTTTTTCTTTTGTTGCTTATGCTTCTCATTGTTTAGCTAAGAAGGCTGTATTTTAACATAAGGTCATGAAAATCTACTCTTGTGTTTTTCATCTAAGTGCCCTTTTTTTTTTTGTAGAGTTGGCATTGTTTGTTGTTGTTTGTTTTTTTATTTTTTATTGAAGAATCATTGATACACAATCTGATATTGGCCCCAAATGTACAACACAGTGGTTCAACAGCTACCCACATCACCAAATCCTCACCCCCTCTAGTGCACCACAGTCTGTCAACACAGAAAGATGTTAGAGAGTCATTGACTATGTTTTCCATGCTGTACAAAAACACGGATGCTTCATGAATTTGTGTATCATCCTTGCACAGGGGCCATGCTAATCTCTGTATCATTTCAGTTTTAGTATATGTGCTGCTGAAACGAGTACCTATGTGTCTTTTTAACTCTATGTTTAGCTCTATGATCTACTTTGTGTTAATTTTTGCGTATGGTATGAGGAAGGGGGGTCCAGCTTTATTCTTTTGCTTGTTAATATCTAGTTGTCTCAATACCATTTGTTTAAAAAGCCTGTTCTTTCTCTATAGAATTGTTTTGGCACCCTTGTCAAAAATCAATTGACTATAAATGTAAGGGGTTTATTTCTGGACTCCAGATTTTTACTCAGTTGAGCTATATATATGCCTGTCCTTATGCCAGTACCACACTGTCTTAATTACTGTAGCTTTGCAGTGTTAAGCTTTGAAATCAGGAAGGGTGATTCCTCTTTATTCTTTTTCCAAGATTGGGCCACAGGATCTCTTAGATTTCCATATGAGTTTAAGGATCAGCTTTTCAATTTCTGTAAACAAATCAGCTGATATTTAAAGCAATTGTGCTGAATCTATAGATTGAGGTCTCTCTCTCTTTACGTGTGTGTGTATTTAAGTCTCTTTAATTTCTTTTAATAATACTTAACAGTTTTCAGTGTACAGTTCATGCCCTTTTTTTAAAACTATTTGATACTATTACAAAATTTTCTTAATTTTATTTCAGATTGTTTATTGCTATAATACAGAGTTGCTTTTTATATATTGACCTTGAATCCTGCAGTCCTGTTGGCTTGTGTTTTATTTAGTGCTAATTGGCTTTTTTGGTAGGACTTTGTGTATACAAAATCATGTCATCTGTGAACAGGGAAAGTTTTACTTCTTTTCCAATCTGGATGCCTTTTATTTTTATTTATTTATTTATGGTATGAGGAAGGGGGGTCCAGCTTTATTCTTTTGCTTGTTAATATCTAGTTGTCTCAATACCATTTGTTTAAAAAGCCTGTTCTTTCTCTATAGAATTGTTTTGGCACCCTTGTCAAAAATCAATTGACTATAAATGTAAGGGGTTTATTTCTGGACTCCAGATTTTTACTCAGTTGAGCTATATATATGCCTGTCCTTATGCCAGTACCACACTGTCTTAATTACTGTAGCTTTGCAGTGTTAAGCTTTGAAATCAGGAAGGGTGATTCCTCTTTATTCTTTTTCCAAGATTGGGCCACAGGATCTCTTAGATTTCCATATGAGTTTAAGGATCAGCTTTTCAATTTCTGTAAACAAATCAGCTGATATTTAAAGCAATTGTGCTGAATCTATAGATTGAGGTCTCTCTCTCTTTACGTGTGTGTGTATTTAAGTCTCTTTAATTTCTTTTAATAATACTTAACAGTTTTCAGTGTACAGTTCATGCCCTTTTTTAAAAACTATTTGATACTATTACAAAATTTTCTTAATTTTATTTCAGATTGTTTATTGCTATAATACAGAGTTGCTTTTTATATATTGACCTTGAATCCTGCAGTCCTGTTGGCTTGTGTTTTATTTAGTGCTAATTGGCTTTTTTGGTAGGACTTTGTGTATACAAAATCATGTCATCTGTGAACAGGGAAAGTTTTACTTCTTTTCCAATCTGGATGCCTTTTATTTTTATTTATTTATTTGTTTGTCTGTCTGATTGCCCTGGCTAGAACCTCCAGTGCAGTGTTGGATAGTAGTGGTTCAAGTGGATATCCTTATTTTGTTGCTGATCTTAGGGGGGAAGCATGGGATCTTTGATAGTAAGTATTGTGTAGGCAGCATGTTTTTCAGGGAATGTCTTTTTTGTGGGGGTTGAGAATGTTCCCTTCTATTCTGAGTTTGATTGTTTTTATCACAAAAGAGTGTTGGATGCTTTTTCTACAGCTACTGAGATGACCTTATGGTATGTTTTTGTTCTTGAAGTCTACCCACTGTTTATCTTTTTCCTCCCATTAATGCTGCTTGTCATATGGTAGGCTTTTTCACTCTTAAAACTTATCTTTTTACCTCAGAGATATTTTATTTACTGTTCTGTGATTATTCTTTCTGTGTTCTCTGGAGAGCCTGTTAGATAGTTCGAGAGCTTTTGTGCTGTTAATGTTTTTTAACTTTTCTTCTGTGCTGTTTGACTTTTTGTTTTACTTTCTGGGAAATTTTCCTGATACTGTCTTCCAGATCACTGATTCTTTATTCAACCATGCCTGTTTTGTTATTTGACTTACCTATTTAAAAAATTTTTGATAATGTTTGTCAAGTTTATTTTTCATATTCTTTGTTGTTTTTTTGTTTTTACATATGTGATATCCTTTTGACCCTCTCTGAACATACTATATATATATTTTTTTCTTTTTTTCTTTTGATGTTGTTAATGTACAATTACTTGAACAACATTATGGTTACTAGACTCCCCCTATTATCAAGTCCCCCCCACATATCCCATTATAGTCACTGTCCATCAGCGTAGTAAGATGCTATAGAGTCATTACTTGTCTTCTCTACATATTTTATTTTTTAAGTTGTTTTTCTTGAGTTATCTGCTCTCTTTTGAACCAAGTTTTGTCTTTTCATGTCAAATCTTCTTTGGGTTCTTGGTTTTCTTGAAAATGCACATCTTAGCTTTAGTTGGAGGAAGTGTTAAAGTGATTAATATAGGTCGTTGGCGTGAATTTTCCCCTGCACTAGCATAGTACTGATTCCCAAATAATCCACACCACACATGGTGGAGAGTTGACTGTGATCTCTCCAAGTATCTGGTACTGTAGGTGGAGAGACCAGCTCCCTGCAAGTGTCAAAATAGGGAGGCCTTTGTTTTGGTGAGTAAACTACACTAGTTTTGCAGTGCCTTCTGTTTTTCCTTCTTTATGTCAGTTGTGGAGGTTGGGATACTGGACTTTTTCCCCAAGCTTCAATGTTCACATCAGGAGTGTTCCTTCTTCCCTGCAAGTGTCAAAATAGGGAGGCCTTTGTTTTGGTGAGTAAACTACACTAGTTTTGCAGTGCCTTCTGTTTTTCCTTCTTTATGTCAGTTGTGGAGGTTGGGATACTGGACTTTTTCCCCAAGCTTCAATGTTCACATCAGGAGTGTTCCTTCTCTCTCCCTAGACCCACTGATTTTTCATTTTGAAATAATTTATTTACATTCATTCTAAGTTTTATTCTTATGTAAGAGACTTGGGGTAAGAAGCTGTAGTGTCCAGGCCCCTCAGTCTTCAGTGTGGGGGATTAAATGGGACACTGCTGGAATGTTTCAAATGTCTGATAATTGTCCCATGGGTCATTCCTGGTTTTTGTAAATGTACATAAGTATCAACATGGAGCTTCATTGCAGGAACTTCCTTGAAAAGATCCAGCCTGTTTTACTGCTCATGTTTTTTGAGCTGTGAATTTCTTTGTTTTACTTTCTCTATCAATCTGATCCCAATTTACTTTTGCATGCTTAAAATTCATTTTTGAAAATTTCTGATCCTTGACTCTCCCTGTTTCTTGTGCTATTATGATTCATTAAAAAAATCTCTGCATATCAGTAGGACTTTGGGACAACCAGCCTGTGATCTATGTGATATCCTTTTGACCCTCTCTGACATACTATATTTTTAAAGTTGTTTTCTTGAGTTACCTGTTCTCTTTTGGATCAAGTTTTGTTTTTTCATGTCAGATTGTCTTTGTGTTGTTGGTTTTCTTGATACATTAGAAGTATCTAATTAAATGATACACTAGAAGCCAATACCATTTTTATAATAGGAACAAAGAATGTAGGAGTCTGAGAAGAATATTTTACAAGGCAGGGATTGGACTAAATGCACAACTACAGAGCACTGCTCAGCAAGGCCACCAATGTCCGTTCTCATTTCCTTGGGACATGGTTCTGTCATCACGGATAAGCTCTCTGTTTCGCAGTTTAGCACTCCTAAGTGTTTGACACAGGACCAGGCATCAAGGTTCACAGTTAGTATTGAGTGAATTATACGAATTAGAGCACTTTTTCTACCACGGACTCACTTGTAAGTCCTTATATTTGTGTAGTTCTTTTACCTTTTGAAAGCACTGTTTTTGTTTTCATGAGAAGTTGCTACCTCCTAACCTGTGTTCCACTTGCTTAGTTAACTTTTGCAGTTTTACTTCTTATCATTGGGCTATTTGTACATGTTTTTATAGAAAGCATTAAATTGAAACCTGCCGTGAAATCACATTCTAGCACCCTTCGTTTGCCACAGCAAAACTTATAATCAGAAATGAGCACGTGTAAAAAAAAAAAAGAAGCATTTTAGCCAAACCTACATACTAAAATTATGAAGTTTATAGAAGAGCCTTTTAGTCAGTCATGTGATTCTTACCATCTCTTACTGCAGATATAGTTTAGTCATCCTCATTTAGAAACATTTTTAAGGGAGAGGATTTTAAGAGCAATCTAATGATAACTGAAGGAGATAATGCTCGTGTCATAGTGCAGTATAGTGCTTGAGGTTCATAGTGCTCAGTAAAAAAACGAAAGATTTGCCACATGGTAGAGAAAGGGCAGAGAACATTTTCCCTGCTCTGGACTCTTCCTCAGCTTGGCTCTGCATGCAGCTCTACCACTTGCAGGATGTGTGCATTGTTTAACCTCTTTGAGACTGGTTCCTTGTTTCTGACTTCTCTGATCCCCCCATGAGTCTTCTGTCTTCCCCTAGGGTTCTTGGACACATTCTCTACTTGGAATGACCCTGTTGTCTCCTCTCTGCCTGCTTACTTCCTTCAAATTTAAACTCTGATACTACCTTCTATAGAAATTCAGCCCTTAATCTCTGGGTTGTACCCTGTTACATATTAGTACAGTACTTAACCTAATAGGAATTTTTTATTTATTATATGATCATTTATTGAACAGTTTCTTTCAACAAATTTTATTGAGTACTTAATAATTATCTTCCCTTGGATTGTAAGCTTTATTGAGGCAGAATAATGACTGGGTCTGTGGGTCTTGTTTCTGTTTTTTTAGCCATTGTGTCCCTAACACCCAGCACAGTCCTTAGTTAGACATAGGGAGTACTCACCAAGTAGTTGTTGAATGAGTAAGTAAAAAGGGAGAAAATAATACCGCCTACCTTATTTACAAAGTGGT